ATTAAAGACATAATTGGGTTTAAAATTGGGCCTCTTTTTGATTTAAAAACAACCCAAAGCCCATTTAAACATAACCCACATAAAGCCCACGAAAGCCCTAATCCATAACTCAAAAATCGAAATTGTCTCTTAAATTGCGCCTGGCGCAATTTTGACGTGTGTCGGATCTTGATCCTGCAAAATTCAAATACAAAAACAAAAATTAGGTTTGGAATCTACACAAAAAAGCCTTAAAGAAAGTGTAAAAATTTCGTAAAAGAAGACAAAAAATATTTTACTTAAAAACGCCCCCCAAACTGTCCGAGGGATTGTTTCCACTGTTTTCTCATGGGTCTTTGAGTATTACAGAGGTTTTACCTCTGTCAATATACTCGCCATAATATTTCTTGACCCGATGCCCATTTACCTTAAAGATATTACGCTTAGAACTCTTTAAATCCACCGCTCCATGTGGATAAACATGTTCAACTACAAATGACCCTGACCATCTAGATTTAAGCTTACCTGGAAACAACTTTAATCTAGAGTTAAAAAGCAAAACTAAGTTTTCAGGTTCTAAATTCTTGTCCATTATCTTTTTATCGAGCCACTTCTTAGTTTGTTCATTGTACATCTTGGCATTCTCATAAGAAAACTGACGAAATTCATCTAACTCATGTAACTGGAGCAATCTCGCTTCACCTGCAGCAACATAATCAAAATTTAGTTTCCGCGTAGCCCAATATGCTCTATGTTCTAATTCTAATGGAAGATGACATGCTTTACCAAAAACAATGCGATATGGGGACATGCCTAATGGAGTTTTATAAGCAGTTCTATACGCCCACAAAGCGTCATCAAGTTTAATAGCCCAGTCCTTCCTATTTACATTCACGGACTTCTCTAAAATTGATTTTATTGCCCTATTTGATACCTCTGCTAGTCCATTAGTTTGTGGGTGATAGGCAGTGGCAATCTTATGGTGAATGTTATACTGTTTAAGCAAATTACTTACTGCTCTATTCAAAAAGTGCGTACCCTCATCACTAATCAAGCATCTAGGTGTACCATATCTAGTAAAAATAAATTTTTGCAAGAAGAGAGAAACTACCTTGGCATCGTTAGTAGGGGTGGCCAAAGCCTCAACCCATTTCGAGACATAATCAACAGCCAAGAGAATGTAATTCTTACCGAATGAAGGTGGGAACGGACCCATGAAGTCGATGCCCCAAACATCGAAAAGTCCAACTTCCAATATTGGGTTTAAGGGCATCTCATGCTTCCTTGTCAAGTTACCTGATCTTTGACAGCGGTCACATCCTTGAGTGAATATATGAGCATCTCGAAATAGAGACGGCCAAAAGAAACCACATTGAGGATTTTTGCTGCAGTCTTACATCCAGCAAAATACCCACCATATGGTGATTTGTGACATGCCTCTAGAATCTCCTTCTGTTCATGCTCAGCAACACACCTACAAAGAATATTATCAGGTCCTAGTCTAAACAAGAAAGGTTCATCCCATTTATAAAACCTGACATCATGAAAGAACTTCTTTATTTGGTGCTTACTCAAATCATTAGGAATTATTTTGCTCACCAGATAGTTCGCATAGTCAGCATACCAAGGGACTTCAGAAATAGCTAAAAGATACTCATCCACAAAATGCTCTTTAATCTCACAACTATCATGCTGCAAAGAAGACTCTAGCCTAGATAGATGATCYKCTACTTGGTTTTYTGTTCCTTTTCTATCTTTTATCTCTAAGTCAAACTCTTGTAACAACAAGATCCATCTAATCAACCTAGGCTTAGCTTCTTTTTTAGCAAACAAGTATTTAAGTGCAGAATGATCGGTAAACACTATCACTTTTGTCCCAATCAAATATGAACGAAACTTATCAAATGCGAAAACAACAGCCAAAAGTTCTTTCTCAGTCACCGTATAGTTCAACTGACTACTATTCAAAGTTTTACTTGCATAATAAATAGGATGAAGAATTTTACCTTTTCGTTGACCCAACATCACACCTACAGCAAAATCACTTGCATCACACATTAGTTCAAWTGGMAARTTCCAATMTRGTTCAATTATGATAGGTGCTGAGCTAAGTGCTTTCTTAAGTGTCTCAAAAGCTTTCAAACAATGTTCATAAAAAACAAAGGGTTGATCCACTTCCAACAACTGACACAAGGGCTTAGAAATTTTTGCAAAATCTTTTATAAAACGGCGGTAGAAACCCGCGTGTCCTAAGAAACTTCTAACACCTTTTACAGTTATAGGACGGGGTAGTTTAGCAATCACATCTATTTTAGCCGTATCGACCTCAATTCCTTTTTCTGAAATTCTGTGACCTAAGACTGTACCTTCACCCACCATAAAATGTCACTTCTCCCAATTAAGCACAAGGTTAGTCTCTTCACACCTTTTTAAAACATTCTCTAAGTTCTCTAAACAAACATCAAACGACTCACCAAACACAGAAAAATCATCCATAAAAATCTCTACCGTGCTTTCTAACATGTCTGAAAAAATAGCGATCATGCATCTTTGGAAGGTAGCGGGAGCATTACAAAGACCGAACGACATTCTCCGGAATGCAAATGTCCCATAGGGACACGTGAACGTGGTCTTTTCTTGGTCCTTCGGAGCTATAGTAATCTGGTTGTAACCCGAATACCCATCGAGGAAACAATAACATTCCTTCCCTGCAAGACGATCAAGCATTTGGTCAATAAAGGGTAATGGAAAATGGTATTTTCGAGTTACCTTGTTTAACCGACGGCAGTCCATACACACTCTCCAACTAGTCACCGTTCCAGTTGGGATCAACTTGTTGTCGTCGTTTGTAATCACCGTCATACCACCCTTCTTGGGAACGCATTGAACCGGGTTAACCCAACTGCTACCTGAAATGGGGTAGATCACTCCAGCATCTAACCATTTTATGATTTCGTTTTTGACCACCTCTTTCATTTTCGGGTTAAGCCTCTTTTGGCACTCGATAGAATTGGTGGCTCCTTCCTCCAGGATGATTTTGTGCATGCAAAATGTAGGGCTAATTCCTCTTATGTCCGCTATGGTCCATCCAATAGTACTCTTGTACTTTGATAAAACCTGCAAAAGCAAAGATTCATGTTCATTAGACAAATATGAAGAAATGATAACGGGCAAAGTATCGTTTAAACCCAAATAAGCATATTTTAAATGAGAAGGTAGGGGTTTCTTTTCCAATTTTGGAGGTTCAATGATGGAAGGTTGCAAGACCTTCAAATCCGCTATTGTCGGCTGCAAAAACTCAAAACGCTCAAATTGGGGAAAAATTGCGCCAGGCGCAATTTTGGATTCTTTTTCTGCGGCCTCCAAATCTGCTTCCAAGTCTTCCACCATCATTTGCTGGAGTTCCTCCATGATTGCTCCTATTGTAGAGCACTCCTCGACTTGATCTGGGAGACGCATCGCATCGAGGACATTGAAGGTTACCTGTTCATCATTGACCTTCATCGTGATCTCTCCTTTCCTAACATTGAAAACTGTATCTCCAGAAGAATGGCCTCCCAAGAATGATCGGCACCTCAAGATCTGCTTCACAGTCCAAAATTATGAAATCGGTGGGAAAAATAAACTTATCAACTTTAACAAGCACATCTTCTATTTTTCCTTGCGGTTTCTTTATGGATCTATCAGCTAGTTGTAAAGTGACAGTAGTGGGACGAGCTTCTCCTATGTTTAACTCTTTAAAGACAGAAAGAGGCATAAGATTAATGCTTGCTCCTAAGTCACACAATGTTCTTCCTAGGTTCTTACCTCCTATTGAGCAGGGGATGGTAAAACTACCTGGGTCCTTACATTTAACATGCAATGGATTCCTTAGAGCATCACTGCTACACTTTGTCAAGGCTACCGTCTCATGCTCACCTAACTTCTTACGCCTAGATATGATGTCCTTTAAAAACTTAGTGTAGTTAGGCATTTGTTCTAGAGCATCTATGAGTGGTATATTGATATGCAACTGTTTTAGAATCTCAAAGAACTTCTTAAAATGACTATCCTGATTCTTTTTAACTAGCCTTTGGGGGAAAGGTGGAGGAATCTTAATATTACCTACCTGTGGAGTAGTGCTGGGCACTACTTGCATACCTTTATCTGCCTTCTTACTTTTTTCTTCTGAACTTACAGGTTCTGCTTTCTCTTCTTATTGTTGAGCGGGTGCTTGTGCACTGCTACTAGCTACTCCTTGGTTACTCCAGGAAAAGTTTGGATGGTGCCTCAATCCAGGGTTGTAAGTGTTTGAATACGGGTTGAAATTCCGCTGGGCACCTTGACCTACATAGACAATACACGCTGGATTAGCTTGACAGTTCTCATACAAGTGGTTATCACCACAATACACACAAGATATATATGAAATTTGCAAAATAGGAGAGGGTTCAGGTATCGCCGAAGTGACGGTTTTGGTTTCCTTCTCCATTGTAAACTGCTTTAACATTTGGTTCATAGCCGCCATTTGAGCTTGCATTAAAGCTACTGTGTCTAACTCAAAGATTCCAGCTGATACTTGCTTCTTTGATAATGACCTTCCTCTTTCGCCTTGGTCATTAATGTCTATCATCTTATTCAAGATATCAACGATCTCATTTACCGACTTCTCTAACAACGAGCCATTGGCTGCGGTGTTCAACATCATCCTTGATGAACGATCCAATCCTCTATAGAATTGTTCAATCTGCACACATGCGGGCAATCCATGGCTCGGGCATCTTCTAAGTAACTCTTTAAAACGCTCCCAAGCTTATTGAACTGCTTCGTTCTCCTTCTGTCTAAAAGACACAATGTCATCTTGGAGGTCTACGTTCCTGGTCAAAGTGTGGTACTTTGCCAAAAATTTCTCCGTCAATTCTGCCCATGTGTTGATAGAATTTGGTTCTAACGCGTTTAGCCAAGTCCTTGCACCATCCCTGAGAGAAAAAGGAAACATTTTTAATCTTAGTGCATTCTCAGAAACACCAGGAAGTTGAAATGCATTAGCTATTTCAATAAAGGATTTGAGATGGGAGTAAGGATCTTCATTAGTCAATCCTCCGAACTGGCCCATCGTCTGTAACATGTGGAACATGACTGGCTTGAGCTCGACCTGTGCGGCTTGGGGTAAAAGATTATTTATCCCTGAATTTAGGTTGTGGAACGCACGAGTGACATAATTCCGCATGGCTACATCTCGATTATCTGCTAGAAGGATCCGATTAGGAATTTCTCCTGCTCGGTTTGCTGCTCCTTCACCTGCCATATCTCCATTCACAGGTGGATTTTGTGGTGGTGGAGGATCTTGTGCATTTCTATTCATCTCGATGGTCTCTTCTTCTTCAACTTCTTTCTTTTTTTTACTTTCTTTCTCTATTCTCAACCTCTGCTCACGCCTTCTCCTCTTAAGGGTTCTTTCAATCTCTGGATCAAAGGTCAACCAACCAGACCCTATACTCATACACAACTCCCTTAAAGGTTAGATATGACAATTAATTCCAATGATAGAGGTATGCAACAATCACACAATGAAACAATTCACTTGAAAAGAATATGATTTGAAAACTTAAGTCCTCGGCAATGGCGCCAAAAACTTGTTGGGATTTTTCTCTACCTTTAAAAAGATTAGAGACTCGTGCAAGCGCACACGGTCACAAGTAATACTCGGAAGTAATCCTAGGTCGAATCCTCAGGGACTTGTTGCTTTTCAAAATCAAGTAATGCAGTGAAATAGTTCAAATATGCAATTGTGATTTAGGAAGAAAATAATGGTGAAATGTT